TCAATAAGAAATCACGTCGAAAAGTCGATTACGAAAACACAAAACAAATCACAACTCGGTCAAAACTCAATATCTTTGAAAACAGAAATAGGGTTCGGAGTCCTTACCACGAGATCTTCACTTTTCCCAACAGCAGCGTCGGACGAAAAGCGCTCCGCGGCCTCCAAAACCAGATTTCTCCTCTTTTTCCCTTTCTCTTTCTCTCTCCTCAAAACAGATATTTTGTTTTATAAAATATTTTCTCTCTCATCAAGAGAGGAACAGTAAGGGAACGAGGTCTCACACCTATTATCCAATGATTGAGTTTATAGTAAGATTAAATATCTGGAAAAACTTTATAACTCCACCTAAAGTTCAATGTCAACAACCATCGCTAGCCTCCATCGCATTAGCCTATTATTGCAAAACAACTATTGATAAATCTCCCTCTCCTGATCATTCTAATCCATTTATCATCACTCGACCACTATCATGCAAGTGCTATCACCCAAACCATTATCGCTTGTTCACTACCATTCGACTATCATCACTATCATCTAACCAATGCTACACAATTGTCATCATTTGATCATCGTTGCCCAACTAATATCTTCCAACTTTCATCGTCATCATTCCAGTGCATCTTCAACATTTTACTTCACATTAATAGGACGTCAAAATTATATTACGGATTTTATAATCATGTCTTCTTTGCTTGAGAGGAATTATATATATATTGGATAATTTTATATGAGCAAAATCCCATAAATTTTCATAAATTTTCTCATAATTCTTTAATAGTTTTCATTTTTTTATGTAGACTTTTTTTTTTTAAATTTCCTCCTAGATATTTCTCCAAAAATAACCTTGATCTGGCAAGAATTCGAGGCATGTTTGAATTAGAAACTTTTGTAGTTAAATTTTTAGCCATCTTAACTCCGATCACAATAAATTTATAGTCAAATTGAATATCTCGACAACGCAAATCTAATGACACCAAAATGGGTCCAATCCATGTCCAAATAGGCATGAATCAAGAGACTAAAGTGTACTTGGAAGCTTAAAAGTTTTGATTGAATAATCAAATGATCTTCGAATATGACATGCTTATAGTCAGACCGAGCAGCTCGACAAGAGGAATCCAACAAGCCCAATATCACTTAATTCATAAATCATTAAGACACTTAAATGCTTGATGTAAGCTCTATAATCAAAGAAATCAATATGAACAATTGTATGGAGCACTCCTAATTTATCCTAGATTTTCTCCATGTTACGGAAAATGCCACTCCAAAAAAAAATTATAAATAGACCCTCATTCTTTACATTTTGAGGAGAAAAAAATGAGGAGAAGAGAGAACTAGTGAGAACTCTCTAGCATTTTCCAGCCATTGTTGCCACCGCCGACCACCTGTTACTACCACTGGGAATCTCTATTATCACAGATAATTGGCATTAGAATTCACCGCCATTTTCATAATACGGTCAAGATTTGATTTTGTTGTTGGGTATATTTATTTGCTTTTGAACCAACTTTCTTAAACCTCTCTTGGGAAGATTAAGCCATGTTGTTGGATATAAACAACTGATCTTTTTGCTCTTACTCTTCTTCAACAATGAACAATGAATGATTTTTTATATCACTTGTTATATAGTGAATTTTATAACTAGCCCAAGCCCTTGATTTTCCTCTTTCTAGGGTTTTCACGTAAAAAATGTTATGATTCTATCATTTTTATCTGTTCGTGCCGAAACTTTGTACACAACTAGAACATGAAATATAATTTTCAATGACTTAAATTTTCTAGCACGTAACAATCTTTTTTTTTTAGCATTCAATACATGTGATATATATAGCTCATCTTAATCTATTGATTGAGATCTTTGATTATCAATAAAAAAAGTCTTGAATTTAAATTTTATGCATTTGATATGCTTATTAATTTATCTTAGTATATCTAAATATTAATAAAAAATAAATACATTGTGATATAAAAAAGAAAAACAATACATCCTACTCAGCTTGCTACTCTTAGAGCTTGCCTAAATGGGTTCAGTAGGTGCCTAAGCGGGCCCACTGACCAAAGCTAACCTGGGAGGCTGGGAACAATGCAGATCCCAAATTCTGGGCATTGCTATACTTATCCAATAGAAAATCGACCGGAAACCGGCTGCACCCCACCAATCACGTGGGACCCACCTTAACCATCCCGTTCCAGTAATCGGTCAGGAACCGGACCCACCTTTCTAAATTCCGATCGCATCAAAGTGTTAGGGATGACGTGTCACGGGCGTCTTCCAAGAACCGGACTCCAGCTTCCTTTAAAAATTTAATTTGAAGTCCGGATTCCCCCTGGATATCTCTTCTCCTATATAGATAACGCACCTTCACCTTTCGCAATCGTTTTGCTGGCTGTTGGCGTCTGGCTTCATCGCCCTTCTCTGCGACAAGGGTTTCCTCGATCCTTATCTTCTCTATAACTTTCTGAAGACTCGATCGGCAATCGGTGCTAGGGTTTCGGGAGTGGTTAGGTTTCATATTGGCAATGGTTTGTCCGAGGAGAGAGGGGTTCGAGGAGGAGGCCAAGGGAGATTCCTCTGATCGGTTTGATCTTGCTCAGGAGAGCGAGGGTTCCGATGAATCGTTTGAAATTGAAGGATCCGAGTCATCGGGAGATTCGATTGATGTTCAAAACAGTGGAGGACTTTCGGGTGCCTTCTCTGGGAGGATACGAGATGTTCTTCGTGATGGAGCGGATGCTAATCTTCTGCTTGGACGCGAGGAGGTGGAGAATGGGATTTTTCAGTGGCTGCAAGCGTTAGATCTTCAGGTTATCGGCGGATGTCGTGCGGATGAGAGGTTGAAGCCTCTGCTTAAGCTGAATGCTACAGGCGGGGCTGCGGAAGACCAGTTTATGGTCCAGCTTGTTCAGGTCTGTGTAAAGCTTCTTCTATTTGATTTGTTTTATGTTCCTTTTTGGTTCATAAGATGCAACGTTATCACTTGCGCATTTTTATGTTATAAACATTATTGCCTCTATTGCATCATTCTCTTTGTCGCATGAGTTTTCGGTGATACTTTTTTTTCCTGCTTATTTTTTTAATGCAGATCAGCAATGTGGTTTTGGTTAGCCAGCGGCAAATATTTTTGACAGTTTGTTACTCCAATGTTTCTTTGGTTTTTATGTTATTTTTGTATATAACTCTATGATCTTGTTCTAATATATGTTGTCATGATGAGAAATTTCATTTTAACCATTTCTTTAACTGAAAGCTGCTAATAAATTTTGAGACTATGTAAGCTGCAAATGAGAGATTATTATTTAGTGAAAGTTATTGGTTTAACATTTCCTATGTCTTGGTTTCTCTTTTGCTTAAATTAATTTCAAGACCTGATCGACCTGTAAAATGTTTTATTATTATGGTACTGATTCTTACTACTTTTTTTTTGTTAATCACCAGCATTTTGAAGCATCTGAAGTTGCAGTTCTAGCCCGTTGCTTATGTCTTCCTCTTGTCTCTGTTCGTGTGGGAAAGATTAACAAGCAGGGGAACATGTTATGCCCAACTGCTTCCAGGTAGCAGAAATTACTAATTTTCTATCAGCTGGATCTCCTTATTTGAGACTCAAGTGTATGTGATCAATCAATCAGATGAATTGCATTGAAATGTTGTTAAATGACATTGCTTATGACTATCCATTTTAAATCAGATTTGGATTTAATAATTAACTATTTTTTCTTTGAAATGGTCGACTCTTGTGTTAAATCCTTTTCTATGTCGTATAGTTTTTATTAGATTTTTTTTATCCGATGAAGTTTATGCCTTAGTTTAATATGATATATTGTTATATATGGATATGGTGTCTCATATGGCTTATACATGGCTATGCATTCCGAATATATATATATGTTTCTGCCAATATTGAAGAGGATGCTGAGAGACATGTAGCTTTTTATCTAGTGATATTTTCTGATAGAGGTGTGACATTTGGTATAATTAATTGAGAGGATCAATATCTTTGTACATAATTCTTTAAAATTTAATTAAATTATTTAATTAGTTGATTGATTGAGGTAATGAGGTTATACATCATGGCTTGCTACTAGATTGGCATAAGAAGTCGCCTTTTTTAGTTGGAACAAATTGAATGATACATAGATATAAATTGAGAGCACCTTTTCTGATAGGAAAGTGTCAGATTTGAGTAAATCTAAAAATCTACTGAAATCTTTAGGTTAAACATTAAGTGGAGATTTTGATGATGCAATCACATTTAAAAAAAATCCATCTAAAATTGTGATGCTTCTTGTTGCTTTGCAGTCAATTAGAAAGGATGGAACATGGTTTTGAACATCTTGTAACATCTAGGGAGTGAAAAATTTTGTGGGCTTTTTAAAAAGGAGATTTACCGTTAATTGTAAATGAGCCTTACGTAAAGCCAAAGTGTATGGATGAACAGGAACACGCTCAGATTCACTTGGATACAGTGGGAAATGAAGGTTTCGGGGATGGAGAGCTATTTTTGTTTTAGGTGTTGCTGTGTGAGCTTAGTGCCATACATCTCCTAAGCTGTTAAATTCCTGAAATTTTCTAGAGTTGCAATGTCATTCAATTTACTCTTCCCAGCCATTCACCAGCTTAAATTAACCTATGCATGCGTAGATGTTGATATTAATTTTTTTTTTCTGAGCAGATGTTCAATTTAATGTTGACATTTATAGGTCAAACATTGTAACAACATTCAACTCACATTTCTAAACTATTTGATTTTACTAATATTTTGAGCTAGATATTTGATTTTTTATTATTCACAAATCTCTTACCAATTTTTGTGAAAGAAAACAAAAACTGTATTACAACTAAAGACAAAGCTACGTATCCTTCTTCTCAAGCAAAACTTTGAAAAGTTATATCTATTATCTTTGGCAGTGACATTACAGGAGCTTGGCTTGCCTATTGTTGAACCTTGATTACACGTAATATAATTAATGAGTTCTGAAAACTAGATCTGGCTCTTTGGAGTCTCTCTAGTTTTTTAAAAGCCATGCTTTAGTATAAACTTTTGAATACTTTAAACTTTAAACTATTCAAAAGTACTTTAAACAGATAACATATTACACTGGCACTCGGGTTTGCTGTTTGCCTATATATTTCTAGCTCATTTCTAATTTTTCAACAAAATACAATGGTGTATGATGAAGGTGATTGACCTAGTTGTTTTCTCAAATGTTGCCTAAGTATATTATGAACTAACTCTTAGTTTAGTTTTCATCATAGAATACAAGGGCTTGGATAATTATATTGCATGGTTTTTTACCTTGCTCATTGAAATAATTCCTTCAATTTGGCTTTGTTTGTGCTACATGTAGGTTAGGTATACCTTTTTCTGTTTGTGTATGTGCATGTCATCTTCATAGATCTTTATGCATCCTTCGACTACAGTGGACTAAATTTGTCTTTCTAGTTCACCATTCTTCCTATTGTTTGTTCTGACTTCAGTATTCAGGATCATTACAATGTATTGGCCTGCTAATTTTCATAAGCTACATTTTAAAAAAAATAAGTGTTTACTAATTGATTTAGATTAGTTATTTGTGTTACCGACTCTGCTCATCTTGAAGTTTGTTCTAATAAGATCATTAGCTGCTACAATTATTCAATGCTATGGTATTTTCTGCGGTACTTGAGCTTATTTTTTAACTGGAATTGTAAATTAAAACATATTTGCTAGTTAATCAATGTTTATCTATTTTCCTTATGTATTATTTTGTAAAAGGTAGAGCATAGATGAGGAGAAGAGTTCATTACCTGCTAAAAGTTTAATGCTATAGTTGTAACATCTGATTTGAACTCCCATGAGATCTGACTTTATGTCCAATTTGTTGCTAGAAAGCATATCCTGCATATGATTTTAGTTCTATTACTTCAGGATTTATGCTTGGGCACATTAATTGATGACATTGTTCACCCCATCAAATAAATATCTTTTCATTTGTAGGTAAAATGGACGTTTGTCATGTTCTGTTAAGATCTCTGATTTATGAGGGGAAGAAGGTAGCCTCTTTTCTACTACTGATATAATATCATACCTCTAACAAACTGCTATACCTGCTGTTCTAGAATCCATTTGTTGTAGAGCAGGGAAATCATTTTTTGCGATCTCCTGGAAAACATTTGATCATGCTTAAACATGGCCTAGAAAATGTCATTTCTACTTTTATGCTTTTCTTCCTTTGTGCTGCATCATGTGTTCCGTACATTTGTTTGGTACTGTATTAACAGTTTTGTTGCTTCATTATTTATATTGCAACATTGCAGAAAATGATGTTCAAGTTATATGAAGCTTTTTTTTATATGAACTAAAATTGCTACAGATTATTCTTCTTGTTTGCTTTAGTTCAGCCAGCAATTTCACTATTTTCCTCTTCACCTCCATTAAAAACCAGTCATGGTTCAGATATTCACAGCACTAGTCAACAAACTGAGGAATTGATGATTTATGTTTAAGTACTTTATTCTGATTAATTTGTGAGTTTGGTAGCTTAGTACTTTTTATTTTTATATTTTTACTAGTGCATTGATTATTTTTTTTCTTACGTTTGGCAATGTTGCTCTTTCATATCATTCTCCATTTTGCTTAAGGATGGGGATTTTTTAAACTTGATAATTACATCTTTTGCATTTCGGACTTGGCATTTTATAATGGAATGTCATATAGCAGTAAATTTGTTTAAATTAAGCTATTTAATAGCATATGCAGATATTTATTGGTAGAAGGTCTTGTAAATCATTTATTTGTTGCCTTGAATTGTGGCTATCCTTTTCATTATTTCAATCTTATTTTCACTATAAAAGCGGCTGACATATGCCACTATTTAATAGCATATGCAGATATTTATTGGTAGAAGGCCTTGTAAATCATTTATTTGTTGCCTTGAATTGTGGCTATCCTTTTCATTATTTCAATCTTATTTTCATTTTTCACTATAAAAGAGGCTGACATATGCGATGTGTTTCCGCTTATTCATACTTCCATGCTATTTCATTTAAAAAATGTTCTCAAAGGCATAAAAAATAGGTAAATTGGTGTACCAAGTGCATGGAGGTACCACACTTGCTTTTCCGAAGGGACTTGTTCCATTACTCAAACCTTCAAACACTATATCACACCATAAGCAACATTATCTTGTCATAAACACATCTTTTCAGAGATTACCCTTCTAGACTTTGGAGGACATTTCAGCATCCCCGAAGTTGGGGTTTGATTTCTATCAGTTCATTTTCAAACGCTATGAATCTTAGCCTTAAGTATTTAGTGGGCTTCTTTGAAAAAGAGGGACGGGGGGGTATCCCTTTTGTTTTACAGCATTTGGGATTCTTGTAGTATATCCTTTCTTTTTATTGTGGAATATGTATTGTTTGTTGCACTACAAATCTCAGTCAAGAGTAGAGCTAAATGTAGAACGATTTTGAAAATTTATTTTATTCTACATTAAATTTCAAAATAACCTAATTTTGTTTCAAGTCATATTATATAAAAGCTTTTTGTTCGCTGGCACATTTTCATATAATCTTTTTTTTTTTCTAAATTTTTCCTGTTTTTTTACCTATTTAATTGTTTTTTCTTGATGTTTTGAAATGTTAATGTAATATCTGGATAATTCTATTTCTCTTTCACTTGGGATTATTCTTTTGATGTTTCACTGGGGAATTATTTTCGGCTGATGAGTGATTAAAATTAATCCTGCTGACAATTTCATCTATTATTGTTTTCCTTTTACAGGGGGTTTCTGAGTTTGACCCTTCTTCCGTCATCCCACATGCGCATTTCATTTACGGGGGATGATGGCTGCATTGAGAGACTTGCATTAGTTAGCAATGATCTGGAAAGCCCTTCAGTGATTCTTGAAAATATTTCAGCTGATACTTCGGGCCGTTCATTCCTACTGAAGTTCCCAGATTCCCAAATCTTGTACTTCTGGTGCTCTGAGAAGTCTAAGGATGATGGCTTGGGATTACTTGCTAAGGTCAGTTTTTACAACTTTGAGGACTAGTGCACGCGATTTCTTTTTGCCTTTTTCTTGATGGATGGTAGTCTTGAGTTCTGCATTCTTCGTCGGCATCTTATGAATAGGCTTTTAGTATTTGCTTACTTGCATGGTTTTCTGAGTAATAAAACATCTCTATAGATATCATGATATGAGATTTTAGCAAAAATACTCTTATTTTGTCCATTTATGTCTTAGAGTCTATGATACACTAACACGGGCATGGTAGGACTCGGGCACTCTTTTGACAAGGTATTATAATTTATATTAGTTAAAATAAAAAAAATGTATATTAATTGTATAAATGAAATAGATATAAAATGAGAAGTAATTGAAGAGAATTGAAATTGACCCATTGAAATTGTCTAACCGAACTCCAACAATTTCATTATTCTTTTAATTTACTTCACAGATGTTATCCTTTTAAAAATATTAGAAGAATGTATCAAATTGATATATATATATATATATATATATATAGCTTTGCAGTTAATTGTTTACTTGCCTGATTTTCCGAGGCTCTGTAGACACAGTGAAATCAGATTCTAGCCAAAACAACTCCTTTAGTGTCTCCTCAATCCTATCTTAAAACAGAACTTGATCAACAGTTCTTAATACTCTGGGGACAAATAATGGACCTGTCTAGATGAATCAAAACACTTATCTGCTCTTTGGCTGGAAATGGGTTGAATACAGCAGTGCACTTATTCCGTTATAGGTGCCTTTCTTTCTTAACCGCAACCAGCAAAATTGCCTCTTCCTCACCACCTCCCTCCACCATCCATATTTACCGGTAGAATTGAGAATAACGCTTAAATGAGGCGCCAATTGAAAATACCCAAATTATTTCTTCATTCCACTATGTTTTATAATGATTATTCATTTGTAAATACTTTTCCTCCGCTTTGATAAATGCTTGATAATATTCTTTAGTTGTTGAATGGTTGTTTTGTAATTTGGCATATTTAAATGGAGTTCTTATGATTTGGTACTTGAACTTCATGCAGATGAAGGATCTACTTAGCAGGAAGCCTTCTCTTACGTGTTTGACTGGGATATCTAAAGCTCGACTTGATTCATTTGCTACTCATCTCCGGGTTTATATTCTTGCTTCGGCAAGCACCCCAACAGCTGCATCTACTTCTTCAAGTGGGCTGTTGATGTCTACTTCTGATTTTCAACCATCATCAGAAACTGATATTTACTGCCAATTAAGGTCTTCCCATGCCCGAATACCAGCAACTCATGTAACAATGGTGCATCCTCTCTACCAAAGCAATCTCATCCCTAGATCAAATGCTTTCAAAGATGGAACCCTTATAAATTCATCCACGACCAATGATGTCCGTGAGAAAGTGAGAATACTTGTTGGCGATTCATCCTCCAATATTCAGCCAAGTACCGCAACGGAGTCATCATTGCATGATCAATCTACCAGTCAAATTGAAGGAGAAAATGTAGAAAAACAAGGAAGTCGTGGTTTGGTTCTTCCTGGATTGACTTCTCTTTCCACTCCCTTATTCTCATTAAGTTCAACTTTCACCATTCCTTCACAAATTAGCAATCAAAGTTCTTTTTTCTCTCCATATTACTGCTGGTGCCCTCCCTTCCCAACCTCTCTACAGTATAACAAGACTTGTCATCTGCCTACCGCATCTGAATTAATGCCTCTCCCACCCCTCTCCACACTGTTATCTCCTGCAGCCCCACCAGAGTCATTGGTGACATCCAAATATCCTTTAAATGTTCCCGAGTTCCCGCCTCTAAAACTTCCTTCCCTTATCTCTGACCCTTTGGTCCACCTATCTATGCCCATCCCCTCACTCTCTCCCTTGCCAAGCTCACAGCAAATTGCAACATTCACGCCATTCATGTCAGATCCCATTGTCCATATCCCAGTCATCGACTTCTGTTCTTCTGGGCAGGGTTACCTTGTCAGCGCGGGTCCTATTTCTACAGCCATTCCAACTTTGCCCATTAGCCATTCAAGTCATCAGCTTCTCCCCCCTTCGGAATCGACAGTTGAGAAGAATGCAAGAGAGACACTTAGGTTGCTTATGGCTTCAACACCAACATTTACTCCAAAGTTGTTCAATGTGCTTCCTGAGGTTCTTAGCAACATGGAGCTATGCGGAAATGGGAGTTCGGTAAGTACCATAATTTTTTTCCCCAGCAGTTTGAAATTTTTTTTTTTTCCTTTTCTATCTCTTCCATGAATTTTCCTTCTTGGTATGCTATTTGTTGCAGGTGATTGGAAACGATCTATTTGAGGGAGCTTTGGTTGACGTTGAATCGACTAGTAATGGTACATCTTCTACTGCAGCTGATACAAGCGATGAAATTTACGATGAAGAAATGGAAGAATGTAACTGCTCAAAGATTAATAATTGTCGAATGTTTAACCATGAACCTGATGAAATATAGTTGGCGGTGTGCTGCTTTTTGTGTATATGATGGGCAGTTTGCAGCTTTGATAAGGCCTATAGTAGGCCCTTGTCTATTCTGTAATGTCGTCTGTGATGCTTTTTCTCGCTGGCAATTTGTTATTTCCATTAGGATTTAGCTTGTTTGTAATGTCGTGGCGTGCTCTTAAGTTTTGCTAGTATCTTCAGTTCGAACATATTGGCCTGAAAGCAAGCAGTTCGGTCTAATTTATTTTCTTAGAGGCGTTTAAAGGTCACTCTTTCTTGAAATAAAGAGGCCATTACATAAAAAGTTATGCTATGCAAACATTGTTGCTGCTGCTGATGAAAGTAACGTAGTAGAAATGGCATGACTTGATGTGGCAAGCTAGTATAGAAAGACCGTTGCATCTGAGAATGGTTAGGACTGTTCTTCTAAAGGTGTAGTAGAAGTCTAAAATTTCTCTAATTAACAATATTGAAAAATGTCCGCCTCATTGTGGAATTATGCCATGAATGGGTTACTCGTAATAAACTGTCAGGGGTGTTCTAGTAGTTTCATTGGCCACCAAATGTGGGAGAGAATATTAGGTGCGGAGTGCGGACGGGAGAATTGTCCGCACAAGCAATTGGTACCTAGCGGTACCCGCACTCGGTACCACTGGGTACCGCTAGGTACGCAGTGCTTGTGCGGATAATGTGCACTCTGCACCTAATAATTTTTCCAAATGTGGAGATAAGGCTGAGGGAGCTGCACATTGTTGAAGAGGATAGTCAGATTGGCTATTCGATCCAGCTTGCACCAGCTTTAGTTGGTTCAACTAGTTCAAGGTTTTACCATGCTTGAATAGTGTTTTTAGTGTACAATAAGGTTATTCTTTTGACAATATTTTCTTGCATCATTTTGATATTATTACAATTAATTTCTTAAGTCATAATAATCATCAATTTAGTCTCTCTAAATTGCATCTGGACTCACACTTGGTGCCAAAAATCATACATTCAAATTTTTTTTGCAATCCCAACTCCAATTTTATTCCTTCAAGGTGAAACTAATAAATGGAGTTTTATAATACTTTTACTAAGAGTTTTGTTATTAGCAACCAAATCTAGTAAACCAAAGTAATAATAGGCAGTAATGCTTTTTAATAAAATAAAATAAAAAAAGGAAGAAAAGGACCCCACACAATTTGTTCTTTAACAAGAAAATAAATAAATATAAATCTTAAAAGTTTTCGCATGTCATTTTGTCATTTTCTTTCTTTCGTAATCAACCTCTCGGAACTCTTTCATGAATTCCAGCAAATATAATGACCACGATTTAAGGTATTTTTTTTCTTTTTAGTGTTGGAGCATAGAAGGATTCCCGAATATTTCAAACTTATAAGGATTTACATACATAACACTCAAATATTAATTCGCAAGAATCAAGACAGAACCAACGAAACATAAGAAAGTTGCAACAGAGTTCGGCAGTTCGTTAGGGCAAGGCATCAAAGATATTGTCAAAGGAAGTCACAACATAGCTCGTTAGGGTAATACATCGATGGAAGAGAGAAAGGAAGTCTCGACGAAGCTTGGCTAATAGAGTTACGAAAATAATGAAGTATGTAAATAATGATGTTTAGTTATTAAATCTATAAAAGAAAAAATATTGAGAGTTATAAATATAAATCACCCAAATATTTTTCATCTAAAAATTTATTTATTTTTGGGTGGGGTAGTGACTAAGTATAGACAAATTAATATTTTCTATCATTGATTAACATATTTCACGAAGAATATTTGATATTGTGATCCTTTAAAATTTCTAATATCATTCGAAGGTATGTATGCCATCTTGATTGCATGATTTGTCATAATCTTAGTGATTACATGGATACTCAAATTGGTTATTTAGGGGTTATTTAGTTAATATTTAAGCAAAGTTTAAGAACTAAATCTTCAAACTTAATCAAACAACAAAATGGGAAATCTCTTTAGCTTATAATTTTAAGCAAGATTTATCCCTATGGATTTTTCCCTTTTTATTTTTTTCTGTAAAAATTCTCATAACTTATTTATGTGTAAAACTTTTTACGATATAAAGACAATAAACTTTCATTCACCATTGTTGCAGGCTAGAATATTTGCGGCGGTAGAGTGAGTAAATTTTTCGTCTTAGCGATGCACGGATATCCACTAAATGGTCCTCTCGTGGAAAATCCGAAGAGAGAAAAACCGTCAAGATATTGTGCAACACTAAAATGGAAAATCTCTCACTTTATTGCCGCAAAAATTCTTGCCCGCAATAATAACTATTGTTATTTTTTGTGCAATCATGTACTTAACCAATTATTGCTCAAACCTCAATCTAAATCTATAAATATGAGATTGACGGGTGGCACTATTTATGTTTTTTTTTTTTTACTCAAGTTCATTTTATAGCTATTTTAAAGCTTTTCACACGAATTCAGAAATCAGACAAAAATCGGGCAGCACAACGGCTGTATACGGAATTTACACAATTTTTTCTAAAAAAATCACAGAATACCAAATTTGCACAGAATATAGATAACAACATTTCAGAACATTTATTCTATTGTCACAGCATTTAATATCAGCACAAAAAAATACAGTCGAAATAAAACACCGTCGAATTCAAAATACTCGGACAAAAATCTCCAGAAAATAACCAAAATGTGCACACTCGGCACGTCAACAACATACGGAAAATTACGCGGTAAAAACTGAACCAGACGGAAAATACAGACGAAAATCCCTTACAAAAATCAATTCCTGACAGATAATACCGCCAAACACGACGGTTCTGAAAATTAAGAAAGGCAGATTGTGCCTTACCTTGCGTACACCAATTCCTGGAACTGTCTCAACGAACGAAAACGGTCGGCGTCGCCCAAAAATTAACTTTTCCACTTTTTCCTTCGTTTTTCTCTCTCCTTGGCTTCTTCTCCTCTTCAAAATATCTCATTTCTATATATATCCAGACTGATCGTCCCGGACGATCGCACTTCGTCCCGGGACGAAGTGGCTCTGGACAAATTTCGTCCAGACGAAATTAATTAACGTCCCCGGCGACTCGTCCTCAGGAGAATTTTCGTCCAGACGATCCAAATTTCGTCCAGACGATCCATGCAGCCAGAACTGTTTCCCTTGAACAACCTGTACCGATCGTCCCGGACGATCCAACTTCGTCCAGACGAACCTGGAGCAAAACTGATGTTACACCGACTCCCTTACTTGGTTGCTTGGCCAGGAAGAAATTGAAAGAGGGAAAGAAGAGAGAGGAGAGAGAAATGTTTTTGGATCATATTTGTCAGTCATTCTCGTTATAGCTTTTGTCTACTCATTATAAGTGACTAATCTCTTAATTATATTTTTAATGATTTTGATTTCTACGAATTTTTTCTCCTATAAATCTGTCAAAAATGCATTATCTCCTGATATTCTGATCGATTTGATATGATTTTATTATATTTTAATGAAATATGAATAATATCATATATATGAAATGATAATTGCACGTGATACACTATTGATCCATGTGATTCACTAATTGGGAGTCATAAGGAGCTGGAGATTGATTGGGAGCCATAAGGAATCGGAGCAACTGATTCATGTTATTCAAGTGGAGTTAAAAATAGTACATTAATTATGAGTTATAAGGGGAGGCCGATTGGGAGTCATAAGTGTAGGAATAATATACTCTTAAGACATACTTATTGAATTTTTAAATTCTGATATCGACACTGCTACGAATATTGTAATGATATTATGACTAACACTAAATTTGTTCACTATCATTAATACTATTTAACATTATTGATCATGATATTAATATTGTTAATTATTATTGATGATGTAATGGATTGAGATGTGATGAACTGTAGAATGATAAATTGATACAAATAATCAGTATAGATTTTGATGCATATATTTCTTTATATGGTTTATAACATGTTGTTCTATTTTATCTTGCATTAATTTCACTTGTAAGATTTTAATTACTGCTGATATTACATATTTTCAGAAAAGGATAAAGATCCTATGATATGATGCTCTAGACTAGAAAAAAATACCATCATGTTTCTTTTCGTTGTTCATTGATAAGCTCTAGTAAAATGATTAAAATGAAAGACATATATAATTCTTTTAATATAGATGCTGAATTGTGATATCAAAGTCCAATGACGGTCAGTGGCTAGGCAGTGGTCTGGGAGGATTCAGGTGGTAATAAAGCTCTCATATTTCTCTTCCTTCATTCTCTTCTTTCTCTTGCTTGCTCCTCTTTCAGTGAAAAAAGGGGGGCTTATTTATAGTTTTCTAATAGTGGCATGACTAGTAAATAAGGGAAAAATTAAAGGCATGTTGGGAGTGTTTCAATGGATGACCGATATCAATCCCTCTGTCATTGATTGTTTATTAAGCATTTGAGTATCTCAATGATGTTAGAATTTGACAATCTTTGGCTTGTTGGATTCGTCTTGTCGAGCCGCTCGATTTGACTATAAGCATTTCATATTTGAATATCATTCAATCATTTAATTAATATTATGAATCTTTCAAGTAGACTTTGCTCATCTGATTTGGGCTTAGATTGGCTCTTATAGGTTTGAATTTGGTGTTATTGGGCTCGTCTCCTTGAGATGTTCAATTCGACTATAAGTTTGCAAAGTTTCCTATTCAAAATTACCTCGAGATTCATGCTCGCTCAAAATAAATTTTTTGATAATATACCAGATAAAATTTAAAAATTTAAGTTTAATTTAAAAAATCTTTTAATTCGTTTGTAAAATAAGTATAACATTAAATTGAAAAAATAAAAATTTAATTTAAAATAAATTTTATAATTATAAAATTAATACAATTAAATTTACAGCAGAAAGTACGCCCAAAATTTTCCTCATCAAACACCACCCGGCCTATAGAAAATTGTAAACGTACAAGTCAATAAATGGCTTATCGTGATCCAACTATCCTTTTTCCGCCAGAACACCGGATCCGCAACTCATCTGACCCAGGCGCCGAGTAATCCACCGGCGAAAGCGACCACAAACACATACTTACCGACGTGGACAATAGTATTACCTCAAAGGTAGTTTCTGCTTGCAGATAAGCGGAAGCAGTGACGTTCACTTCAGACGATTATACGAGTGCGATTTTATAGTCAACTTTTCTGGTTCGCATAACGGAAAAGGAGCATCCTTCAGCAGCAAAAAGCTGTAATTTTTAGAATCTGCAACAGATAACCAACTAATATATATATTCATACTCTCGAACCTCGATGCCTTAATGGTGGAAATATTTATTTTTTCCCACCGTTTTCTCAGTCCACCGCGTCTCACCGTAGGACTATAAAACGCCACGTAGTGTGTGTAGAGTGGGTGTTCGGGGAAATAATTGAGCGAGAAATATAAATTACAGGAAATCAATAAAACCAGACTTAAGATAGTGGAAAAGGTTTGCCAAGACGATCTAGGGTTAGTGTTCGTTCCATTACGCGCGTGGCTTTACCGCCGTTGAGCTCCGTGGCCGGCTTCAATCTGATGATCTCTGCTGAGTTTTCCGGCCGGTTGACGGCGCCACTGAAGCGCCGTCGCCTTGCGACGTCCGGATCTGAGTGAGACTTCAAGCATGCGAAATAGTTGGATCTTACGATCACCTTACGCTAGTTGGATTTGGCGATCGGATCAACTTTCTGGCTCTGTTTTGATATTCGGGTTCACGAAGGAGGGACTAAGCTTTTTTCTGCGGATCTGCTAGAATTCTCTGCTTCTGAGAAACGCTATCGAAGTGGATTAGAGATGGAGAGTCGGAACCACCTCAACAGAGCTTTAAGCTTCGGTATATCGGATTTGGCGCTTAAGTGCGTGATGGGATACATCGAGGAGCCTTGCGATCGGGGAGCCATATCGCTGGTGTGCAAGAATTGGTATCGAAGTGATTGTTTTACGCGGAAGCATGTGACGATCGCCATCTGCTACTCGACGACTCCGCAGCGGCTTCGGGAGAGGTTCCCCAGCCTGGAGTCGCTCAAGCTCAAGGGGAAGCCACGGGCGGCCATGTTCTTTAATCTCATACCCGAGGATTGGGGAGGATATGCGGGGCCTTGGATCAATGAAATCGCCTCGGTCGATTTTTCGTGCCTGAAAGCGCTCCATCTTCGTAGAATGATTGTGAGAGATGGGGATATAGATGTTCTAGTTCGTGCTCGCGGGCGTATGCTACTGTCTTTGAAGTTGGATAAGTGTTCTGGGTTCTCGACTGATGGTCTTTCTATGATTGCCAGCTCCTGCAGGTAGTTTAAATTAGCTGATTGTTTCATTTTCTTACTTCTGGGAAATCAATGTCCTATTTCAGGTTTTTTCTTAGGACTCTGCGATTATTTTGGTCTTCTAATTATTGGTGGTTTTAAGTCCCTGGACATATTTGAATAATCGCCGTTTTTTTGCCATCTTTGTCTGGTTATTATTTTTGTCAAGGCTGACCTTCAAACTGGTAGAGGTCGGTAGAAAGAGTTTGGGTTTTATGATTTAGAGGTTTGGACATTTGGTGGGCCTTATTTTGAGGAATTTTGATGATGTTCTTTTGTCAATAAAATGTTTAGCCACCTTCCTAATCTATATGATGTCTTTGTGGCATTAACAAAATCCTAGTTGAATGTTACGTTCTCCATTGTGTTCTGTTAAGAGTCAAATTCTCATTTAGATCTAATAAAGAATGGTCATTTCTAATATTTTCTAGCTAAGTCTTTTTAGGTCTACCTCTACATTCCTTAACATAGGTCAAATCTAATATATATACTATTTTGAGCTACTCCAACTTTTTCACGTATATTCTTATTTTGTATCCTCTCTCTAAGAGTAAAACCACTCATTCACCTGAGCATCCTCATCTCTGCAACACTTAACTTAATATTATGCTTCTCTTTTAATGGCCAACATTGTGCACCATAAAGCATTGCAGGTCTAACCATCATCTTATAGAATTTTCCTTAAGTTTGAGTGATATTTTTCTATCACACAACAAGATCGATGCATTCCTCCACTTCAACCATCCAACTTGAATTCTACTAATAATATTCCCATCTATTTCACCATCACTCTGAACAATAGACCCAAGATATCTAAAACGTGTATTCTTATTAATGACTAGATCGCTCAAAGTCACAAACCCCCCACTATATCAATTACTAGTAAAATTATACTCTATGTATTCGGTTTTAGATCTACTCAAATGAAAACATTTAGACTCTAAGGTTGACCTCCATAATTCAAGTTTACCTTAAACTCCTTGTTTAGTCTTATCAACAAGAACAATATCACCAGCCAAAAGCATACACCAGGGAACATCATCTTGCTAATATGGGCTTAAGTCTTATCCTTGATTTAATTCAACTGAAATTGGAAAGTACTTGGTCAAACCACTTTGTGTTTGAACACAAGTAACAGCTCCAGCATACATATCCCTAATGCTTTGACATAGTTGCTTAATTCTATAAGCAGTAATCTCTTCTTTCACTTCTATATGTACATTGGTACATGGTGCAAAATTCATATGTGAACCAAAATTGATAGAACCAAACCACTCTCATATTTGGAGTTTAATGACATCATATGCGATCTTATTAACATTTATATTCTTTGGAGCTTAATTATTTTTTAATGGAGGATTGAATGTGTGAATAATACAAAGAATTAGAAAATATAATGGTGTCTCAATTAGTTTTCTTGCCACTTTGCACACTGTTACATTGTCAGTTATTACTTGAACAACTTTATCTTAACCAACCTCCATAATCACTATTTTGCTATGATTTGCAATATAAATTTTATTATATATGCTCCTTCACAATTGATGACCTTAATAGATATAAGCTCAAATTCTATAAATCACATAAAATTACTAAGGGAATTTATTTGTGTATCAATCCAACCATTTCAAATAATATTGACTCTTTTTTCTTTTTAAATTTCTTTAATTGGCCAAATATTTTTTCAACTTTGACTTTTTCTTTTTGATTTAGTTATGTCATCCAAAGATCATAAGTCTAAAGGGTACATCTTAGTGTGAATGCTATTGTTTTATTTTAAAAAAGTAGAGTGATACGATTTTCTTACTAATGAAATGTAAGAGTGGCTAAATAGAACATACTTGAAGTTTTTTTCGTGCAATTTGTAGTAACTCTCTTTTCTTTTTAATTTTTTTAATTGGCTCAAGCATTCTCAAAATAAAGATGCATTTGACTGTGGCATAGAATATTGATTCACTTGATTGGATCCACTTGGCAACAAAGAAGGAAGAGAAACCGTCATAAACAAGGCATTCTTCTTTATTTTCTCAACATTCGCGTCTACTTTTTTGTAATTCTTGAAGTTGTATAATGTTATTTTTGGGCATGATTGAACACTTCCCTCAAGCTATCTAATCCAGTTCTCACCTTAGAATATATTTCTTATACTTTCCTTGACAAAATTGACTTTGAAGTATATGTTTACTCTTTCTCAAAGGTTTTTTATCATCCTCTACCAAATTCAGGGAATGTAATTTTAGTAGTAATAGACCTAGTTGAGGGATTGTGACTTTGGGCGATCAAGTCATTAAAAAATTACACGTTTTAGATATCCCGGGTCTATTGTTTAAAGTGATAGTGAAATAGATGGAGATATTATTAGTAAAATTCAAGTTGAATGGTTGAAGTGGAATGCATCGTGCCTGTTGTGAGACAGAAAATTACCACTCAAACCTAAGGGAACATTCTATAAGATGGTGGTGAGACCTGCAATATTTTATGATGTAAAATGTTGATCATTAAAAGAGAAGCATAAAATTAAGTTGCAGAGATGAGGATGCTTGGGTGGAGGAGTGGCTTCACTCTTAGAGACAATGCGAATCGAGTGATGAGGTTGGAGTAGCTCCAGTGGTGGATAAGATTAGAGAGAGTCGCCTTAAATGATTTGTTCACATAAAACGTCAGCCTTTCGATGACCTAGTTAGGAGAGTAGATGTATTAGATTTGGCCTATATTAAAAAAGGTAGAGGTAAACCTAAAAATACTTGGCTAGAAAGTATTAAAAATGACCTTTTTTTCCTTTTAGATTTATATGAGAATTTGATTCTTAATAAGACATAATAAAGAAAATTGATTCATGTAGCCGACCCCATGTAGTGGGATAAAGGTTTGATGATGTTGTTGTTGTTGTTTTTTGTTGCATTCATTGTTTAATACCTTCTTTATTTAATTTATCTAATTTATGGTACAATCTCTTGGTACAATATAGTGAGATAAGTGATTGTGGGATAAGCAAACTGGCTGTAAAAACATAAGATTTTTTCCATTGTTTGGTACTTAAACCACATGAGTATTTATAATCTTTGTACTTTTATAAAGCATCATTTTTTTAGTTAGCTTATGACGATCTTAAAAACAGACTATGTTTTCAAGTATAATGTCTCAGCCAGCATACTATTTGGAAGTTATCTTAGATATAATGTTTTCTGTGGAGGTAGAAACTTGCCTTCTTCTGCCTGCTCCTGATCCTATGTCGTTGTATCTCTTTTGTCATTGGAAAATTTTATTAGAAAATTTCCTTATGGATATATTAAGTATATAAATTAGCTTTTGAATCGTTTGTTATTTTTCATACAAAGTTATATTATTGATCAGTGTTAAATTATTAATTCTTATTGATCTTTTAAATTGAATTCATGTGCTATATATATATATATAAAGGAACAAAACAATAAGAAAAAAATAGGTGAATATCCTCGTTTATGAGGATATATTATAATAGTAAATGAAAATATTTAAGACTAATTTACCAATATGTAAAAATATTCTATGATAATACTTCTTTTAAGCTAGCATATATATCTAGAAGTTCTAGCTTGTTGGAAAGATTAGGAAAATGGAGTGGTCTCAGAATCTTGATAAAAATATTAACTAAATGTTCTTTGCTAGAGATATTAGTAATAATGATATTCTTTTATAGGATAATACCTTGGATGAAGTGACAATCTGCCTCACACTATTTTACTTTTTAATGAAAGATATGATTACTAGCAATATAGATTGTTGCCCAGTTGTTATGGATATGGTTGCCTATAGGGAAAGAACTAAGATTGAAGTCACCATTTTGAAGATTTAGGGCTCATGTCGAAACATGAAGAAGTATCTCCCATAAAGTTATCTTGACTCGCAAAATGTTATAAGTATCCAAATCCAACAACACATATTTTTTAGACCAATCAAAAATTGTATTCAATAATTCATGTTATATTATATGACTCAAGGGTTATATTTATAATTCAAAAGATTCAAACTTCTGTAAATCTTTCAAGATTTGGCCTAAAAGTGTAGGAATTTCAATTTAATCAACTTGGATTCCAGCTAGAACTAATAAGTTTCCAATGAGTGAGCTTGAACAGACAATGAGACTTTGATCTTGAAAACTTGTTGTTTTTGCTTGAACTAAATCTTTAAGGAGTGAGCTTTTGGATGAGGACTGGGGTTTCATCTATAACACTGACAATGGTTTGGAGAATGTGTCAGTGGGCTGCAAAGATGGCTGGATGATGAGGACATGAGGCCTTGGAGAGTTTACTACAGGCCAGGCCGACGATCTAAGGCCACGATCGCACCGATCTACTTTGATTATCATTAAATTAGATTTATTATTTTATTATGTTTCATGAGTTTATTGTACTTTTCCGTTTATGCCCTCACTTAAGGGTCTAGTCATGTATAAGCCCTAGGGGCAAGTTGGTCTTTTATTTTCTTTCATTGTAATGAAGCTATTTAAAGGCCACCTCCTTCTTGGAGGGTAATGAATGATTATTATGAAATTTTTTGCATCCATGTGTTTGAAGAGAGCGTGAGAGTTTTTGGAGGAGATTGAAGTCCCTAGGTGAGGGCATCACAATACTCACCAACCATAGGAAGTGTCCGGGTTCGTGGTCATCATCGCTCCCCTTCCTCCCTCCCTTCCCCTCCCTACTGTCGGCCAAAGCCCCTCCTTCTCTCGGTCGAACCCCCACACGCCCCTCTCCTAGCCGACGGCCACCCATAACCCCACCTTCTCTTCTGGCCAAACCCCACCTCCACTACAACCCAACCGGCCACCCTCTCTCACCTCCAAACCACCAACCCCAACCTAACCCTAACCCTAGCCGCCACCCCCCTTTCCCCTTCCATTGCCTCCAAATTCAAACCTTCCATCATTACTTTCCATTATTGACCCATCCTCTTTTGGAAAGCTTTGATTACAAATCCCAATCAATTTTTTAATTTGAAATATTTCCTAAAATAGAAAATCTATTTTAGGAAAGTTACTTAAGTCAAGTCCAATCAGATTTCAAATTGGATGGGATTTAAACAATTATTCCCAATGAGATATTCTTGTTAAGGCTAGCATTAAATCTCTTTCCTAAACCCTTCTCCCTCCAAGCATGCCGCCGCCCCCTCCTTGTGCTCCCCCCTTTCTCTCTCCACATTAACTCCCCTCCCTCTAAAGACCTCAATCAAATCTCTCATTAAGGATTACCTTCATTTCTTTCCTCTTGTTTGAAATTCAAATTACATAACCCTAAATCCCTCCAAACAAAAATCTTAAACTATTTTCAGATTTTGGAAATTTTCTTTCCCCTCCCCATTTACCGCCGGCCCTTCTCCACCTCCTCCTCCCTTTCTCTCTCCCAGAACAACTCCTAAACTCTAATTCTAGGTTTCCAAATTTCTGTCCAGATTTCCTGGACGTTGTTTGGTGGCTATCCAGAAAAGTTCTGCACTTCTCCCTGTTGTCCAGGCAGCCGGGAGATCATCGTGTGCTGTCCGGAGGTTTCAGTTTGCTGTCCAAAGAATCCATCCCAAGTTAGCTTGCTGTCCACCATCCAGAAATTACCAAAGTGCTGTCCAAAGGAAGCTAGGAGGTTCGTGTTGTTGTCCACTCTTTCTCAAACATTCAAACGACCACACTGGAGCTTTGTATCTTTTTTTCTTTGGGTAAACTCTTCCTCCAACTCTTATATCTTCCTAGTTGCTTTTCAATTGTGGTCTTATTTGATTCATAAATATAGTGTTAATTTTCCTTTGCTAATGCCTAGTGATTTAGATAGTTAATTGAGGGATCTTTTCATAGTGAGTAGTCTCATTGTTAACGTAGGAATTTATCGTTGAAAACCTTCCATGTATGCAACACTTGAGTAATTGATTATTTTGTGATCTTAACTTCTTGTCGTGTCACTTGGTCTAAGCTAGTCTCATCTCTTTCTTGTTTTATTTCATCGTTTAATAACTATAAATATTTTAGTTAATAAAGCTCTCTAAATTAAATTGTGCAAGATTCTTTTCTAATATCGCTTAGGCATTTAAGTCTTGCATCACTAGATGTATAAAGTAAGTTATCAATTGAGCTTTAACATAACAGAGATGAATGGAAACTATTGAGAAACTTGGCAGAAAGGAAATTTTCATTTTATTTTTGCTATGTTGTGGTATTAGTAGCAAAGGGCAATATTAAAGAAATTCTCCTTTTTTTTTCAAGCTTCTATGATAACTTTGAACAAATTTGACACCTTACTGTAAAGAAAAGATACTGGAGTTGAGTGTATACACTAGAGATGTTAATGTCCTGAAATTAGGTGGAACTAAGAAAGTTACACATTTCTTTGGCATGGTCTCTTGCAAACATGATGTCAAAGAAGCAATTATAGGCTCATGATTATTTGACATCCATCTGAGAACCACATGGTTAGGGGCTTGTCATTTGTTGTTTTTGGCAGTTCCGTTGATTCAAGAGCTAGCGTGCCCTTCTGATAGAATTTCTCGTGAGATTCAAGAAGTAAACGAAAAGCGAGTTTGATAATGATATCAGTAGTGATGGAGGGTTTTAGGAGATGTCGAGAAAGCCATCAACAAATACCACAAATATTGTTAGATATGGATGCAAAACTTATACAAGGTTGCAAATTAGCTAGAGTGAAGACGTGTGAGCAAGCACAGACAATGTTGCCAGTAGATGCGCACACAGAGCGAGCTTGGCATAAAGGCGCATGCAGGCATACTAGCTACAACATTAGACATGCAGGCAATAGTGCAGATTGGATATCTAGCGAGCAGCAGAGCAGGAGCGGGGTTGGGGTGGGAGGGGACACGAGAGCTTATAGGTACCTATATATCTTGGCAAATGCAAGAGATAAAATAGAAATGAAATAATGAAAATAAAGAGGAGAGTATTCTTAGTTGTGAGTATATTTTATCGTAATAAAGACAATTTTGAAGAATTAATTCTTTCCGATTTGACAAATTCAGTATGATTACAGATATTCTTATGCTTGGCTGTATAGTCTTACACATATGCATGTGTATTTGCATATATGTGGATGCATCTTTGTATATGAAAAGACTCGCAGACAATTAAATCTAAAAAGTCCCTCCTTTCTCAAGGCTTCCCCTTTACCTTATCTGCTTTCTTTTCTTTTCTGTACCTCATATTCATTTAACGTTCTTTTTATTATATACGGGCATGTGTTCATTTGGATCCATGAATGTAGTTTATGACTCAATGCCATGAACATTGTTATCGATAGGTATGATTAGATTGTTGTTTGTAAAATCCAAAAAAAAGGGAATATATAACTGCGATTGGTTTGCTTGCAATGCCCTATAGCAGTACTGCACATTCGGATGGTTGCAGCAAATGTTAGCATGGCAAAACTTTGAAATGGTAAAAGAACAGTTCAGTTTACGGGCATTCAGCTTAAGTTCCATAATGCTTACCGATCAGGATAATTAGTTTCGTTGGCTGATATTTTATTTTTCACAAAGTGGTCTTCTAGTTCTTGTGGTGGTATGATGTATTTTGTGGTGTCTGCTGTGAAAATCTCATAGCATGAGAAAAAGCCTGATTGATACAAGGCAAAGTGTAGCATAGAGCTTGTGATTGCATAGCAATGTTGAGCATATACTGAACAGCTTCATTTACTTGACGTATTTCTTTTTTGAACAGTTTATTTTGTTTTTTAATCTGATGTAATTCTTGTTTGGGAATTGATTTATCATGAATCTCATCAAATCCAGTTGTTGAGTTTTGATTATTAAATAAGTGTTTTGGTGACAAAAAAATCAAATTTTCCATGCCCATTTTGTAGAGAAGTTGAAAGGTGCAAATTCCAGTACGTGGAGAACTTGTTACAAATTCTTTATTCCTACAGTTATTAGTTTTGCTGGAAATTGATAATAACAATAATTTTTAGTTGGAAGGTGATGGTAAATTGGTAATGCATGGATTTGGCACCTGTTTTTAAACTGCAAAGAATGATCTATCACAATTTTTTGTTCCAAAAGTTTAAAATTAGTTATGCTACTGTTTATTTTTGCTGGAAAGTGATAATACCGGGAAGGTGATCATAATGCATGGATTTAAACTGCAAAGAGTGATTTATTACAATACATTGCACGAAAAGTTTAAAATATTTATGCTACTGCGATTCCAATTTATGAAATCATTGTAAAATGCCCTTAGTAATTACTTGTAATCTATGATTTCATGCTCTTATTAGGATGATTGATAAATTGATTTTACACAGAAGCTTATGCATATTTGCCTCTGCCGTAAATTGTTACCAGTAAAAAAAATGATGCATGAAAACGGCTGTACTTATTTGTTCTTTTGGCTGAAAATTGAAACTATCTGAAAATATTACGATAATTAAAGAACAGAAATTATGTTTGATACGTGTATGCATAGAAGCAACTGTGGCAAATGTTTGTGTCATTATATTTCAGCAACCAAGTCCTTAGAAAACCTGATAATGCTGCTGCAAACGGATGGTGTGACTCATTTTGGTCAAAAACTAATACAGTTTTGATCAAACTTTTCCTCCAAACAGTTAGATGAGTAATTGTTTCATTGTTCGATTGAAATGAACCTTTCTGTCTTATATTATTTGCAGAAAGCGCCCTTGTCATTTGCTTCTATTTACTATGCGTATGTTCTGTTTTCATTTTTCTTTATCTAAACATCTGTTGAGGGCAAGATACGCCCTTGAATATCACATTTCCTAGCCGAAATATTGTTAATGGAGATAGTTGAAATTAACATAATTCAAAATTTACTCTTACAGAAGCCTCAGAACTTTATTTCTGGAAGAGAGCTCTGTCTCTGAGAAAGATGGCAGTTGGCTACATCAACTTGCAGTAAATGATTCTGTTCTTGAGATCCTTAATTTTTATATGACAGAACTGAAGTCTTCATGGCAAGACCTCGAGTTGATTGCTAGGAACTGTAGGTCCATTATTTCACTAAAAATTAGTGAATGTGATGTCTCTGACCTAGTTGGGTTCTTCCGAATGGCTGCATCTATAGAAGAGTTTGGTGGCGGTTCATTTGACGGCCAAGCTGGAGAGGATAACAGGTACAATAGCGTTTCTTTTCCCCCAAGACTTTGTCGTTTAGGTCTCAGCTTCATGGGGTCAAACGAGATGCACATAATATTTCCTGTTGCTTCTGCACTGAAGAAGTTGGACTTGCAATATACCTTTTTAAGCACCGAGGATCATTGCCAGCTTATTCAGCGCTGCCCAAACATAGAAGTTCTTGAGGTAGCTTTAACTGCAGCATCTTTTGTCTCATCGACATAGGCTTCGTTTGGGACTACTTTCTTATTGCTTCTTAAAGCAGCTTTTTAGTATAAAATTTTTACTTTTTAACTAGAAAGGCACTTTAAGAAACAGGAAGAAAGCCATCCAAACTAAGTCTTATACACAATTTAATCACTTCTACTCTTTCTTTTTTTCCTCTTATCTAAACAATAGGTGAGGGATGTGATCGGTGACAGGGGGCTAGAAGTTGTTGCTCAGACTTGCCGGAGACTGCGAAGGCTAAGGATAGAAAGAGGTGAGGATGAGCAAGGCCTGGAAGATGAACAGGGTATGGTTTCCCATAGAGGCCTATCCGCTATAGCCCGTGGATGCCCAGAGCTGGAATATCTGGCTGTTTATGTTTCCGACATCATGAATTCTGCATTGGAATCTATGGGCACCTACTGTAAAAACCTCTGTGATTTTAGATTAGTTTTACTCGAAAGGGAGGAAATCATAACAGAGTTACCTCTCGACAATGGAGTTCGAGCATTACTAAGAGGTTGCACCAAGCTACGGAGATTTGCCCTTTATCTTAGACCCGGCGGTCTGACCGATATCGGTCTCGGATACCTCGGCGAATACAGCGGCAACATCCGATGGATGCTTTTGGGCCATGTCGGCGAATCTGATGAAGGAATTCTAAGGTTCGCACGAGGTTGCAGGAAGCTCCAGAAGCTAGAACTGCGAGGCTGCTGCTTCAGCGAGCGTGCTTTGGCCATGGCTGTGCTGCAGTTGCCTTGCTTGAGATACATATGGGTTCAGGGTTACAATGCATCTCCAGATGGACGTGACTTAATGGTCATGGATAGGCCTTACTGGAACATTGAGTTCATTCCTCCGAGACAGGAGCTTACTGAGAACAATGGCCGTCAAGAGCATCCTGCTCAGATCCTCGCATACTATTCGCTTGCTGGGAGGAGAATCGACTGCCCGCCCACCGTGATTCCAATGTTCCGGCTATGAGTGTACATTGTAAGGCCCATCCATATTTTTTCTTGTTTTTTTGTTTTTTATTCCCCCGACCTTTGTTGTTGTTTCGTATGTCTTAGATTTCATTTGAGACAGTTTTTTTATTGCTTCTTAAAGCAGCTTTCTAGTACTGAAAAGCTGCTTTAAGAAGCAGTAAGAAAGCTGCCCCAAACGAAGCTGTAGTTTCTTCATTTGTCTTTGGGTAGATAAATTATGTGCATATTTTGCCTAGTTTGTTTTTATTAAGTGTCTTATGATGCATGCACTTGTAATAAAAAACTTGTTCCATGCTGTTTATTGTAGAAGAATCCGGATGAGAACATCAATGCTCCATATAGCTAGTTTTTCTTGAGATTTTTTTGTTGATTTTTGTTGGATCCACTATATTATTGTTAAGGCCTCTGCATTCTACTACTGCTGACATGTGATTATTTTATATGTACAGCCTTTAGGATTCTATAGTTCTCATAGTGGAGGGGACCAATAACCCTATAGAGATGATAGATATTGGTGGTGGTGTCGATAATGGGTGTTGATGGTGTTGAATTTGATGATAGGCATCAGAGGTAGTGTAATGGTGGGCGTCGGTATTGCTAACGGTGGCGTGTGTCAGTATTGTTGGTCAAGATTGACGTCAATGTTGTTGGCGATGGTGGAGGTCAGTTTTGGTGTGTCGGTGGACATCAACATTGGTGGCATTAGGGTCATCAATGTTGGTGGCAACGGCTAGCACGAAGCTTTAAATTCTCTCATTTAGAATCTTTCGTGTGGAATTATCTTAATATACCGAATTTTGTTGTGCTATAGTTTATTTATAGATTTATGGAGTGGGATATTCTAATCATTTTGATTAGAGATCATAATACTCTATCAGTCTGTTCATGTTAATCCCCTTATTTTTTTTAAGTGTCTTAGTTATTTTAAAATAGGGTTAGATTCATCTTATAAAGATACAGATTTTGGAGAAATTATGTTGTGCAGACATTGAAGGACATTTGAAGATCAATCAGAATGTGCCATGTCGCCCGATACACAGCGGTATCGAGAGCATCAGTACCAAGTAAAAAAAGTGTTGTGGCGTGTTCTAATTGGTCTCCAAATGACGTCGGGGTCTGCGCATAATAATTTTTTCACATTTTGACTATAAATTTGTCAAAAATAGAGTTAAAATAACTAAAATTTGATTTCAAAAGTTCTAATTTTAATACTTGCTTTATGAATTCTGTTTGATCAAATAAATTTATTGATGTTGTGCGAAGAATATTCTAAATACAAGTAAAAAATCAAAATAATAACATTTTCTTCTAAATGTTATTATAACTATAGAAAAAAATGAGTTCATAAGCTTCTCAACATTTACATAGATTTTGCTTCGTAAGAACTTTGAACACTTCGAGCTTTTCATAATTAAGAGAAGATTAAATAATCTAATAATATGTACAATTTTTAAATATATTTGAATATTTATAAATAAAATCCAGTTAAATATCGTTTGCTTTATAATCATCTAAATGAGCTCATCAATTCAATAAATAAATTATAGTTAAGAGGATATTAAATAAAGTAATCTAATAATAAGTACAATTTAGCAATATGTTTTAAATATTTATAAATAAATGGTTGTTAATTATTGTTTACTTTGGAGAGTGTGCGTAAATTTTTTTTTAATTTCTATATCTTTTTTATTGAGCTTTTCGCTAAGGTCTATTCAACCCCTCATAGTGCATTACATAAAATAAATGTTGGTCAGATGGGGTCAGTTGGTTGAGAGATTTTGCAACCTATCAAGAAGACTTAGATTAGAGTCTTGAATATGTAACGTGCGTGTGAATTTGTTTTAATCCTTTCAATCATACATTTGTAATCATTTAAATGAGCTCATCAATCAAATAGATTCATAGGGTTTATAAATTTTTATGTTAAATGTGATTTGATAGAGAGAGAGAGAATAAATTTTATTTTAAGAGGAGAATTAATATTATCCTCCTTTTTTGCATTTTCCACTTTATATAATTTTCAAATTTAACAATCACAACATTAATTGTGATCTACATTCTACAACATAAGATATAATTAAATTTTCATTCATTTTTATGATGAATATATATAAATGATATTAAGATGATCAGATGGCATATAAATATCATTTTAAATATCTAATTTAAATCATATATTCAATCTAAAAAATATTTGATTTTTTTATAGAGTGACTTTTAATAATATCACTTCTAATCAATAATCACTTCTAATCTTAAAAAATTTAACAATTTTGTATGTCACTAATTTTGAAGATGTTAATATAAAACAAATCAAAACATCATTTGAGAGTTAGCAATATAGCTCATTAAGATTTCATTTGAGATAATTTTCTTAAGCCCATATCTTTTTGCTTTAGTCATGGATGTTCTCACTAGACATTTGCTGTAAAATCCTTCCGAAGCTGATTTTTTTAATGCAGTTAGTCCGGACGAACTGACTTTAGTACGGGACGAACTGAAAAAAATTGTGAAGAATCTGTCAAGTTCGTCTGGACGAACCTGGGTACATCGGGACAAACCGTCGGGACGAACCGAACAGAGAGTTTAGTTCACGGACGAAATAAATTGGAATTAATTTTCGTCTGTACGATCCGTGTCCAGAGGAGTTCGTCCCGGGACGAATAAGAATCGTTCGGGACGATCTTGCTTGATAAATTGAGGATTTGAGATATTTTTTAAGAGAGAGAAAGAGAAGGCAGGAGAGAGAAAGAGAAGGAAAGGGAAGGAAAAACTTGATTTCGGAGGCCGCGAAGCGCTTTTCGTCCGACGACGCAGTTGGAGGAATTATTTGTCGGGCAGTAAGGACTCCGAATCCTATTTCTGATTTCTAAGATTTTTTGTTTTGGTATTTTTCTGTTCCGTTTTGTATTTCCGTTATCGAAAAACGCGCATAATTTTATAATGACGAAAGTTTTACCACACAACTTTTGATATGTTTCTAATATGATATTTCTGCACGATTTGAGTATTTTCTGTAAAGTTTCTACCAGTTATTTTGAGTTATGTACGATTTTTATCGAATAGAAAATTATCAGGATGTTGAAAAATGTTGCTTCAGTACAAGTAAAGCTTTGTAAAGTTGTTTTATTCGATTTCTGGTTTTATTCGATTTCTGGTAATTTGGTATTTTTCGGGAACTGTGCATTTTTGCAACGACTTATGTCTACTATATGATATTTTCAGGGGTTTTCGACATTGAGCTAGATTGTGTTTATTGATCGCAATACCTTGTGGTTATGCATATGAATATGGATATGGATATAACGACACAACGATACATCGATACTTGAAAAACACCTTAATAGCTAGTGATTGTACTTGTCGAGTAAGACTATGGTATTGTATGTCTTGTGTAAGTACTGTTCTTATGATCTCATTATGGATTTATTGATTACTGTATGCATTAATTTATACCGACGGATTTATTGATTTTGAATGGATTTATAGATTTCTTGATATCGTCAGATTTAATGTATTGGATTGATTTCGTGACGAATAGATTTATTGATGGATTTACGAGTTTACTATTATTGTACGTGTCACTGTATATAGATATTGATATTGATATTGATATTGTATTGATTCATTGATACTATGGATATAGATACTATTGATTCATTGATATTATTGCTTCATTGATACACCGTATTGAATTGCTGCATGTGATTCATTAATCAATATGGAATAGGTTTTATTGTATTGATTTGATTTCAACCGTTCTTACGATGTATTGGTTTGATTGTTTTATATGATTTCATACCGATTGATATTATTAACCCGAGGTGATTGATTTGATTGATTCCATTGATACGATGTTGATTTAACTGATATTATCGAGACGACGATTTTTCTCTATCGATTTGACTGATCGATTTAACTGAGATTCTTCCGAATATAGATTTTTCTACTGTTTATGGATTCTTCCGTGATTTGACGTATATACTGATTTATCGAGCTTTATGGATTTCTTCCTACTGGTTATCGATTCTTTTACTGATGATTGTGAATTGTATCGATCATGCATTGATTACCGATTTTCGTATATGCTGCATAGATTCACAAATCATGTGCAAGTGACTAACACTGATTTGACTAATTGACATGCATATTATTTTCATATCATGCTTTGATTTCAGTTATAGGCTATGGTAACTTGCTGGGCTTTTTGAAGCTCATTATATGTGGTTGATGATTTCAGGTACAGAGCCTCCCGCGTAAAGCTTCTTTCAGATGCTAGTATAGTTTTTTCGTAGTTTTTGGTTCTCGCATTATTTTGTAGCCCGAGTGGCTATTGTACATGTTCTTTTGGATGTACATGATCTTTTGGACTGTGTATATGAAGTGTCGAAATGTGAATTATAGTATTTTGATGTATTTATTTTCTGTAATGCAATTATCATTTCTGGATGTCTGTATTGACGAGAAAAAAGAAAGAGAGAAGAAGAAAAAGAATGTCAAACGAATCCTTTCACTATAGATGTCTGAGACGTTACAGTTTAGGCAACGTCGCGTACTAGTTTTCTTGTTTTGCTTGCATTGCCCTAAGATGCATGCCGACCACCTCATACGTCTTTAATTGCTCCAATTGGCTATCATTTTTGGGTATTAATGATGTTTCGAAAGCAACTGCGAAGTCTGTTTTGTGATCGGACATTGTTTGTAGAATATAAGATTAGAGAGAGTCGCCTTAGATGGTTTGGTCACATAAAAAGGTGGCCTTCCGATGACCCGGTTAGGAGAGTAGATGTATTAGATTTGACTTATGTTAAGAAAGGTAGGGGTAGACCTAAAAAGACTTGGTTTTAAAATATTAGGAATGACCTTCTTTATTAGATTTAAACGAGAATTTGACTTTTAATAGGACACAATGGAGAAAAAGGATTCATGTAGCTAACCCCACGTAGTGGGATAAAGGCTTGATGTTGTTGTTGTTGTTGAGATAATTTTCTTACTATTTTGTAAAATTGCTATAAATAAAATAGTTTTTTTTAATTATTGTAGAAAATAATTTTCTAGTAAAAATTTTTTTTAATTCTTTTAAATAATAGGAGTAATGAGTACCAAACTACAAATATTGATAAAGTTGGGGTAGATTAGTCTGGTTGAAGAAAAAAACTCCCGACTTGGAGAAATTATTTTGTGCGGAGGCCATACGCAGAACATCGTCCAGTGACCAATTAATATATGCCACGTTGGCGGTACCGAGCCGCGGTATCGAGCAATAGTACCGAATACATAGGTGATGTGACGCATTCTAATTGGCCTCCGGACAATGTTCTGCTTCCGCACAGAATAATTAATCCCCAACTTGGCCAAGTCCTAACCACAAAGCAGTAGTCCCTTTCTTTTTTCAGGAATATTGAATGAAATTCACAATCAGATGAAAAATCCCCAACCACTGAGGAAATGAGATGGCACTTGGCTTGCAAGTTGCATAAAAAGCTGCTGCATCTTTCCAAAAAAATAAAATAATAAAACAAAAAAAAGGTTATTTTCTTCTGAAAAGTTAATAGTGGTGACCACTTTGCTCATGCTGCCTTTGATTCTTCCTTTCTTTAATAAGTTGTTGTGGTAGGCCTAGGCACCCTAAATAATATGCAAAGTGAAATGTCCAGACATCACACACTTGCTGATAGTTGCAGCCACTATGGCAATGGCAACAGACATAAGGGCCAATAGGTAGAAAAAGGGAGAAATTATTCTATGTGGACACCGAATGCAGTTTATCTTCAAGAGATCAACCAGAATGTGCCACGTCACCAGTACCGAGCTGGGTACCGAGCAATACCGAGCCAGGTACCAAGCAGGAGGTGACTTGGCACATTCTGGTTGGTCTCTGGACGACATTTGACGTCCACATAGAATAATTTATTAGAAAAAGGAGAGGACATATTCAATTCTAAATGAAAGAAACAATCACCACCACAACAACAACAACTAAAAAAATAAAAATTAAGACACAGAGCAATAATTCTTTGGCTTCATTCTTGTTGTCACTTGTGGAACAGCCAGCTAACCAAGAATAAACAATCAACTCTACTGTAGGATGATTAGGATTTGAAATAATCAAATTCAATACAATATGACTGAATAAATGAATTAGATTTAGCAGAAAAAAAAATGGCTTTTGATTCTTATTCAATCAATGCAAATAGGTAAATCCATTAAAGAACAATTAATGAGTTAAGTAAAGGCAATTTGGCAGGATATTGGAACTAGAGTAAGATGGCACTTTGAATTTTTTAAACCTTTCCAGCCAACCAGTGTGCCTCCTGTGAATGTCATTATTGCTTTTTCACTCAGAATCCTTTGAGATAAATAAGCATCAGGCTTATAAGTTTCCAGAAAATTAATCACAGCCACATAACACTGAATCCAAACTTGCTAAGGACTCTTTTGGTAGGTTTGTGTACAGGACAAATTTTTCATAAAATGGTGATTTTATTTTCATTATACTGTAAGTGAAAATAAAATCATCATTTTTGATAGAGTTTCAAGAAATGGAGAAATTATTATGTGCGGACACCACATTGTTCGGAAGCAAATTTAAACACGCCACATCATCCGGTACACAAAGGCGCACAGCCGCAGTACACAACAAACGGGTGATATGGTGTGTTTTGATTCGCCTCCGGATGGCGCCCGTATGACCGTACGTCCGTACCTGCAAAAAATAAATTCAACAAGAAATGAGACTTAAAACAGTTTTCTTCTTCACCATTAAACTATTATCTAAGGAGTATGAAGATAGCTGTAACAAAATAGCAGTCAACCATGATTAGGCAGTGGGGAGAGAATGAAGAATCTATGGCAAGCTGGGTTATGTGTGAAAGCTGCTTCTGTAAAATTCTAGTTGCATGCAAGGAGTTATCCAACTACACAATGCACCTTAGCTACCTCGTGAAAAAAAAACAAAAAAGAGAACCAAGAAAAGTAAAATGCTAGTGGCATGAGATGCCAGCTAATGGAATTCAGACCTGGCCAGAACAATTGATTGCTTGTATTACTCAGTCAAACATGTCATACTGGACTTAATATGCATAAGCGTCCTAATGTGAAAAGAAAATCTTGATGAAACCTAGAAGCATGATTCTATATGAAGCCATTAACTATTGAGGGCACTTTGATTTCATAGATTTAGTTCAGGGAATATATATATTTAGAGGTGCTAATTTAAGTTAATGAGTTTGATTCAAACTTAGCACAATAAAAAAAAACAAAATTATCTGAATTCGATCTATTTATCATTTAGGTCAAAATATTTGATCCGAACTATATTCAACAAAGAGCCAGGAGACTAATGCTTTGTTTGGGACAAGTTTTTATTGCTTCCTACAGTAGTTTTTTTAATATAAAAATTTCATGAAAACGGTAAAATAGCAAAGGCCAAAAGCTATCCCAAACGAAGTCTAAGAGTGCAAATATTATCTATGGAATTTCTATGTCTGCAACCTGTGTCTACTCTATGCAGCTGAAGGGCTGCAGCCTGCAAGAGGCCATGATAAATTTGGGACTTGCAAACTGAAAGGTCCAAAGAAGTAGAACTTCGTGATTTAGGCTTTGTTTAGGAATTCTTTCTTATTGCTTCACAAAGCAACTTTCTAGTATAAAAGTTAAAATTTTTATATTAAAAATTTGCTTTGAGAATCAGTAAGAAAGTCGTCTCAAACAAAACCTTAGTGATTTTATAGAAAGCCAGAAATGCATAAGTCAAAAAATATGGAAACATGGACTGCTTGCACAGCAGAGAAATGCGACAAGAAAATTGGTTAACCTTGCTGATTCAGCCAGAACACCATTCCTTACAAAGATGGTAGTAAATATCTTTCAATACAAACCTCTTAATCTTGGCCTATACCTCAATACCCCAATTCAAGAACTTCAAATTTATAATAATCAATATTAACATAATTGGCTAAAAGTACCATAAAGTACAGCACCACGGTACAATACTAGCAATGCATTATTGTGTTCTATAATACCAAATGTGAACTACAAATAACTACCACAAAATGACTTTCTAAACCACAAAATGAGCATTTCAAAAGTGGCAATGTCCCTCAGCTCTAAAACATCTAAATATGATATCACATATATCATTTAAATTCCACAATCCACATCAACTCCACCATCATTGATCTTCAATATTCAGATGTTCATGATAAGAAACTTCATCATTGTTCCTCGTCGATTGAAAAAACAAAGATTCCACATCGATGTCCTACGTCCGTTCTCCTCGAGTCATGGAATAATAGGCATTACATCTAAAATAACCCACCATTGTTTCCAACAATAGGACCACTGAGATTGCTATGATGCAAATTCCTAGCTTGCTGTATCATTCCATATGCTTGGATGCCATAAGGTGACTGAACATATTGGTTACTATTGATTGATGAACTAAAGAAGTTAGCTACCTCATTTGGTTGTTTTGAATCAACTACAACAGAGAATTGTTCAGAGGTGCCAGTGGCTATTGCTGAACAAGACTGCATAGTAGCTACTGATGGATGAGAAGGTGAGGGAGGACTATTATCTTCCATATTGATTGTTGTGATATCATGTATGCTAGCTCTCCTCTTGTCTTTACCACCAGAATTAAGCCTGAGGAAATACTTCTGCGCATGGCTCGCCACTTGTGTAGGAGTTCTAGTAACAACAAAATTACGAGATATGTTTCTCCAATCTCCTTTGCCATATTTTTTGAGACCCAATAGAAATCTCCTGCAAAAATAATGCATAGTAATGATTATAAATGAATAACAATCACCATCCCATTATTGATTAATACTCTATTTTTAGTGGTTAGGTAACATTACAATATTAATTATAGAGATTAGTCTTAAACAAACAAAGATTTGAATCGCACATGTTTCTTATTGGCACTTAAAAACAAAAATAAGGAGAGACCACATATCATTAGCAATAAATTAGAGGAATTTGATAGAGTTATACTTATGCTCTTCTTCAGTCCAGGGGACACCCTTCTTCCTATCATGATCAGCAAGTCGGCAGCCTGATCTCTTCCCACCAACGTAGTAATCTTGCTTCAAGCCATCAAAGCTTTGATCATTCTCCCAATCCAAAGTTAAAGAGGAAGAGCTGTAACCTGGGAAAGGGATGAGGCCAGCTTCTATACAGCTCACATCTTCTTCCAAATCACGGTAATGGGACACAACGTCATCTACCGTCTTCCCAGGTATCAACTTCGCCACCATTAACCACCTTTCTGGTGTATCTCTATCAAACCGAGCGAGAGCCTTCTCAAACAGCTTGTTCTCCTGCTGAGTCCAATTCCCACACTTCTTTTCATCACGCATCCAATAGGAATTGGAGAAATAAGCAGGAGCAGGAGAAAGGACTTCCATTCCTGAGTTTGTCATCATCTAAGGACTTTACCAGTTTATGAGGCCCAATCCCAGAGCATATGTAATGCTCGGTTCTGCGGAGGGGTTATGGAAACGTAGATCCAAGAGCAGCAATGCTTGTGAATTATAAACCTCCCATAAGGAATCCGCACAAATCCTCACTCCCAATACACTAAAGAGATTCTCAAGAAAAAAGGGGAGAAAGATTAGCAAATAGATTCAGTGGAATAACTGGAGAGAATTCTGGTAAAATAGCCTTTTTCTGAACAATCAAAGAGATACCCTTGACCACAGATTATAACTAAACAAGTAAACACCAGCAAACTCGATATAAAACCCTAGAAGTCCCACATGGAAATTAGATCCGTCACAAGCCTTTTCAGAACAGCCGGAAAAAGAAATTCTACCACCAACTTGAAGCTCTAAACCAAAGTGCCTATACGAAGCAAGAAAGCGCTCCAAAGAGCAACCTCCAGCAAGACCTTCGGGGATTTCAAACTACAAACCTGAACATAATCTCAAACTCAGCGAAGAAAAAAAAAACAAAAAGAAAAAATGAGAGATGGAGAAGAAGAACGTGTCTGCAAATCGAACAGATAGAAGTAGCAGAAGAGGGAGAAACTCTGCAGAAAGAAAAGATGCCAAGGCTAAAGATGAGATCTTTCTAACCTTTCGTGGGCGGCGAAGCAAAGGGAAGCAAGAACAGAGAGAGAGTCTCTCTCCCTCCCTCTCCCTCTCTCTCTCTCCTCGCCTTTCCTTTTTTGTACTGTTTGAGATTTAAAAATTGTTTCTTTTCTCGTTTTTCATTTTGAACAGATTGAAATAAAAAATTATAATATTATATTATTTTTTAAGAGGCGGTTTGTTTGCTGAAAAAACAAAAACAGTATAAAATAAATTTTATTTGTTTAATTTTATTTAAAAAATAGTATAAAGTTTCAGTGATTTTTTAAGTCTCAATTATTATAAACTCATTTTATTATAATAATTTTTTCATTACTATTTAATATAATTGTTGTCATCGGCTGCCCGTCGCCTACACGCAATTTATTTATAATATCAAAAAAATTATAATTTTGTGAATTATAAATAAAATTTAAATGTTTAATTAGATAAAAAACTATATTATAAAATTACAATAATTTTCTTTTTATTTTGATGTGTTATAAATCCTTCTAACTTAACATAATTATTTTTTATTGTAGGTCAATTGCATTATCATCGTCGCTACTAATCGTCGAAATTTGACATATAGAAAGTGGATTTATATATATATATCATTTTATTTCATTCTATTTACATATCTAACATCTAAGACTTTAATATTACAATCTTATCACTCATATAAAATTTTAATATCAAATATATCAATTTTATATTTCATTCTTATCACCTATATCACCATTATAAATTTTAATATTTCACTCCATACACTCATATTTGTTTTATCAGTGATATGCATATAATATTAAATTTTTAGATGTTAGATATGTAAATATCATTAAATAAAGTGGTATGTACGTAAATCCCCAAAAAATTATAATTTTGTGCAAATTTTTTATAATTTTATGTAACAACCACACTTCTATAGTTGTTTTTTATAATTTTTGAAAAATTTTTAGGGTTTAGTAATGAATTCTTTGGAATTTCTTTGGAGATGACAGTCGTCATGCCTTGGAACTATAGCTTTTAGCTTACAAAACTTCGTATAATTAGATATATTAAAATGTGGTGGTTGCGAAAAATTTATTAGTTACATAATCTATAATATCTGAAATAATATTTTAAATTTTTATTTTTAGAATAATAATTTTATAATTAGTTTATAAACAACTATAATTATCTTAAATGAATTCTTAATGTGCCAATATATTAATTTTTTTAATTGCGGCTCTTATAGTCTTGTGAAATTTAACATATTCTTAGAAGTAATATTATTAAAAAATGAATTTTAAATAAGTTTTATTTAAAAAAAAAAATCAAACATTTAGATGAAATAATCACCGATGGAGAATTCATATGAATAATATATATATATTATAAATTTATTGTATATTATTGTAATATTATAAATTTTTTTGATTAAAAATTTTGATTAACCCTGTTCAATACACCTACCACCTTATAACCACACAAAAAATAATATTCAAATTTATGTCAAAATATCTTGGCAGGAAAAATGATTAAGATTGATACGTCTCCAAAAATCGCCTTAATCGAACATAAATCTTGAGGCATATTCTAGTTGACATCTTCCAAAATTAAATTGAGGATCATCTAAACTCCAATTTCAACGAACATACAGTCAAATTGAACGTCTTAATAAGGCGAACCCAAAGACTCCAAAATCGGTCTAATCTGAGCTCAAATCAAAGGCTTAAAATAAAAATATATCCGGATGCTTTAATGCATTAATTGGATGAAAAAAAGACATCCAAATATAATATGCTTATAGTCGAATCAAGCAACTCAATGAGATGAATTCAATGACCCCAATATTACTCAATTCCAAAATCATTTAAGGCAATTAAATGCTAAATGAGTAATATATGATCTAGGGAATCAATATAAGAGGTCTGATGGAGTGCACCAAAATTACCCTGGATTTTTATATTCGGGATTTTCACGTAAAAAACTTGATGTCTCTTATGACTCTTGCACTCGTCTCTCTCATCTATCTGTGTGTTGGATCTTTCTACAAAGCTAAGACATTAAAGAATATATATGTCTGCCGCCGTGAATGTTTTAGGACGCTACAAAGTTTAATTTTAAATTTCTTAATTTTATTTTGAAATAAGTGTAATATATAAATAATTTATATTACACTTATCTTAAAATAGATCTAATAGCTTAAATCCCATTTTGATTAACAATTTGATTTGGTTATCCTCTCATAATTTTTTCACCAAATATGATTTTGATTGTTGCCTAAAAATTAATGAAAAACAGTGTCAATATATCATATATAATATCAATTGTAGTCATGCTAGGGTGTTAATAATTGACCCAATATCAATCTGACCCAAATTAGACTGGAAAATTTGAAAAACATGCAAGATTTGGATTGAATTTTTTGACCCGTTTATCCGAGGTTTTTTTTTTCCTAGCGGTTATTATTTTATTTGGGACAACTTTTTATAATTTATAAAGCATCATTTTAGTAAAAAAAATATATATATTAATTTCTTGCATTAAAAAGTTGCTTTAAAAAATAATAAGAAAGTTATCCCGAATTAAACTTATTTTGACCATTGAACCTACTTCTGACTCGAAAATGATCATTTTAATATTTTTTTCTTAACTTTTTTACCTTTAGATATAATCTTTTTATTTTTTTATCAAATATTTAAAATTTATTGTTAATAATTTATAAATTTTTAATTAAAATAAATTAACAAGTCAAATTTAGATCATTGGATTACAAACAGGTAAGATTGTAATTGATCATTTTAACCTATTTATTAAATAAATCAGAGCAGCTTGCACGTGTAGCTCATCCGGTAGACGTGTATCACTTCCTTGCGGGAGGCTCACGCTCGAGAAAAGTTATTATGTTCGTACAAAAAATCAAAAATCCATACAAATACCGAGTGTTGTACCGAGCGCCTAAGTGACGTAGCGCTTTGTTATTGGTCTTTGGACTCGTTCGGTGTCCGGACACAATAATTACTCTTAAGAATCTCCTAACTTCAAAAAAAAAATTAAATAAATAAACCAAGTTAAAATTAATTTGATACGGATTAGATCAATTTCATTTCCATCAATTTAATTTGACACCCCTAAGCCACATCAAATTATTATGGATCAACGAGAATGTTTAATTCTTTTTTTAATGGAATAATAGTATTGAACAGCACAAAAGACGATAAACTTGGAGCGAGTGATGTGATAGCACGTGTTGCAAAAATCAACGGTCATGATGCCTCTTATTGGACCTCCGAAAGCTAACGCGGTAACGCCCACTCAGCCACGTGAAAAGACTTCCTTACCCCTCCTTGTGAAAATATTTGCTAATCCACATTCCATAGACGACACGGAAGGATAATTACTTACTAATACGAGTGATTAAGTGAGCTTAACAATGCAATAAAGCAAAAAACATATTTTATTTCCTTCAAAATTGAAGCAACTAAAATATAATCAAGCGAAATTTAATAGGTTTTAAGTCTTTGTTTAATTCCTTCTTACATAGGCAATGTGTGACCAACTAGCTCATCTTGCTATAAAATATTATTGTAAATGGAGAAAAAAAATTATAAATATAAATATAAATATAAAATATAAAATATTTTTTATTTTAATAATAAATCAAACTTTCATAGCTACGTACGTTTTACTCTTTCTGCCGTCTTTTTGTCGTGTAGACAAAGTGAACCGGTATATTAATATATTTTCTAACAAATAAAATTAATGTGTTCACTTTGAAAGAGTCTTTTTTTTAACTAATAAAATATAATTGTATATATTAAAAACTGTTTATATTTAAAAATAAGTAAATAAAGAGTTGAATGTCTTGTATTAGTTGTTTTTGAGTTGAGAAGCCTCTTTTTTTTTAGGCAATTTGCACATATGATGATAATGTCAGCAATATGTTCCAATGGATCTTTGGTCTATCTTCCCTCATTTTAGGAAGTCTTCCTTCCTAGTGATTTATCCATGGAAGTCATCTCTTTCTTTTGATTGTTTATTTGTCATTATTCCTCTTTCATGTTAAGTTGCACTCACAAAGACTCGTCTCATGAAGTATTCGTTTGGGATGACTTTTTTACAGTTTCTTAAAATAACTTTTTAATTTCTGTACTATAAAGCTTCTTTTATGTTTCATTTGGGATAATTTTTTTACTGATTCTTAAAGCGGCTTCATAGTATAAAAATTATAGGAAGCTGCTTTAAGAAGTAGTGAAAAAGTATACCCAAAAGAAACCTAAGAAGCAGTAAAAAAACCGTTTCAAACGAAACCAAAATGCCCCTTTGTTGATGATCTATTTTGGCTAGCCTTTTGTTGACATCGTTTTTTTCTTAAGAAGTCCTCCTCAATAGCTTGTCATGAGACTCACCTCTTGAATGATGAATTCTCTTAGAATTTATCTCTTTCTCAGTTGCAATTAGGTATTTGGAGTGAAGGAAATTCTAGCAAAAATATTGAGAAGTCCTAAAATATCGATTATGACCACCCAATTATATTCTAATCATTATTGCTCGTCTATGGTTCTCTTATCACTCTTGTCTAACTACAATCCTCCTACCACTATTGCCCTATTGAGAACCTCTAACTATCATAACTTGGTTACAATCCACCAACCACCGTCGCCTAATTATGGATCTCGACCTCGCCAGGCCATAGTTATCTTACCTCACCTGATTATGGTCGTCTGACATCCACAGCCTATCAAAGATTCTCTTACTCGATCTGTAACTAGTAATAAACACTAGTATAATCATTTCAATTGGACTGTGATCATATAGATTTTTCTTTTACATATTTTTCACATAAGAACTCTAATGTCTCTTTCAATTCTTCTCCGTACAATCTTCTCGTCACGAATATTCTGATGCGCAAGAGTTATGACCTTCAAATGCAACATTAGCCAACAAGATTTCAATACTTTTATAACAATTTGATCATCAATGAAGTAATAATGTATCAAAATTTTGAGAAAAGAAGTTAAGATTAGTAGATAACCATAATTCCAAATGGTGCAGACATTCAAATTTCTTGGAATAAAAAAATAAATAAAAAACACTATTTTTTATGTTGCGAGGCCGAGCCTTTGCAGCCGTCCAATTGCTACATAAATAATAAATAA